AAATTCCCTTCGAAGGGGTCGACCTCTTATTAGGGAATAATGTATGGGCCTGTTAGACAGTGAGAACAACTAGTTTGGGGGAAACCAAGTCCGAAATGTTTGGGAGGAAATGGCTAGAAAACCCTGCCAGACCTTCTCCCTGATGGTTCCACCATGAGAAGCATGGCTCATGATCATGCTACCAACAGTCTTCATGATATTTCTCATGAGGATGGTGAGGGCTTAAGTTTGGTAACTCTGCTTTCTGATGTTGAACTGCAGTCAACTGAAGAAAAGGATGTTCCAGCCAGAGCTGAGCATGATTGGAGAATGGATCAGTTAAATAGTGTGAGAGAGGCTGCACCTGCTAGGGTGCAATTAATTTCTGTGCAGGAAAATGTCGCTGTTGCTGAGGAAGAGATTTTACAGTTAAATAAGTGTTTTCATTTCAGGGAGGAAACTCTTCAGCAAGCTGGTAGTAGATGTACTTGGTCCATTCCCAAGGACCAAACTGGGAAATGATTATTTACTCACAAATATTTGCTCCACTACCAGGTACCTGGAAGCAGTCCCTCTGCATAAGATAACTGCTCATGTAGTCTTAAGGGTTTTGATGAAGTTCTTTTTCATGTTGGTTTTCCTCAAGCAGCACAAACAGATCAAGGGCCTAACTTTACCTCTAAGTCTTTTAGAAATGTTTTGAAGGGACTAAAAGTAGAGCCTCAGTGTTCAACTGTGTATCACTCTCCATCTAAAGGGGAAATAGAGAAATTACATCAAACCCTCAAGACAATGATGCAAGCCTATGGTATAGACAATACTAACAACTGGGATGAGATGATCCCTTCTTTGTATTGCTGAGTGGGGAAGCACTCTGGAATCTCTGAGCTATTGGCTTGGGGATGATGGTGATGCTCCCCCCTCGGAGCTTTTTCTCAGTTTCAGATACTGTTTGGCTCGTATGAGGTGGATGGTACCAGTGAACGTGCCCATCAACCAGACCAGGATGATGATGTGGGACCATATATGGACCATGATACTCTGGAGGCTGGAGAGGAAGTGCTGATACTGGAGCCAATTCATGTGAAAATCTGTATGGCAAGTTGCTGTGAGCTGAACATGTTGTGGGGGAAGTTCCCAGGGGTTAGATATAAAACCCACACCCCCAAGCAAGAAAAGAATGAGTATAGGGTACACAATAACCGGTTAAAGGGTTTGAAGTTATGTCAAAAATTCAGAGAGACCAATGTTTTAATGGAATGTAAAGGGCTGCAAAACAATAATCTGTATGAAATACCAAAAGTGTATTTAAGAAATAACATGTGTGTAAAAGATTTTGGGAAATGCATGCTTGGTTTTAATGAGAAAAATGTTGGAGAGTTGGCTCAGCCACCTTGGAACTTTATAAAAGTTTGGGATGTCAGTAATGGGGAAAAGTTGAAACTCCATGAGGAAATTGTTAAGGAAGCTGAGCCAATTCAACAATTTTTGTGTGGGAAAAATCTGTATGAAAAATTGGAGATGGAGGAAGAAGTGAAATTCTTCCACCACCAGTTTGTAGTGCTTAGTGAGAGTCAGTGGGCATTCCCATGCTTCATGGTTCCCAAATTAGGTGGCACCCTGGGCATAAACACTGACTACCACAAAGTACATTTAACAACTAAGGTTTACAGGATTAGAAAGATTGATACTTATCCACTAAAAGATGCAAACATTTTAAATAAGCTAAAACATGGAAGATGTGATTTCCATGGTCTGTGTTCCAGTACCATTTTAATGTGTGTAATGCAAATTGTGTTCATTGTGTGCTTAAAATTTGTGTGTGAGATGGAACGTGATGGTATCTGTGTAAACTTAATGTATCCAACCTGGGTGCAAAGAGATGTCTTTGGTGTTGTTGTTGCACTGCGAGAGGTTGCAGAACTGTTACTATCAATGAGCAACCTTCTAAATTTAAATGTCAACATTTTAACCACAGAAAAAATTTTCATTTTGGGGCTGGCTATTCAGCATTTGTACATGTCTCAGGATCTCTTCATCCTGTTCCTGTGTATAGTGACTAAAATCAGACTCTTAGAATGGGCTTTGTTCCTACAGCCTTTTAATTTGAAAGTTAAATATAAAAGGCTCAGAGAATGTGGTTGCTGATGCTCTCTCTAGATGTTTCATGTAGATGCATGGTGCGTACTTTGTACATAGTGTTTGTCTTGTGCTGACCTTGTTGTTTTGCAGTGGTGAACTCTTAGCGAGCCTGAGTACTCTCTACCAGCCATCTGACTGTGAAGGGGTCGAGTCAGAGCCAAAAGTGTGACGAGGGTCAGGGTGTAAGTAAATGTGAGTTGAGGCAGTGGTTGACAACCTTCGGTAACATGAGACGTTCAGGAAGGTATGTGATGTTGTGTCTTGGTGTGCTCTATATACAAAACGGCCCGACGGTTTGCCTTTGTGGTCCCCTGGACCCCTCCATGTTCTATGTCAGCCTCCTCTTCATAAGTTTGGAGGATCTGTGTGGAGTGGACCTCGGAAGATGGGCTTGAGTGCCTGACCATGTTAAGGATCGTGAGTGTTGACTGGAAGTCTCACTGTTTGGTTTGGCCACCAAGTGAGAGACACCTTGACATGTTTTGTGAAGTTTCCTGCCTGGTGTACACCTGACTGCTCTGGGTTTGGCTCTACTCTCGTCTCCTGATCAGGAAGATGCCACCCTGGAGTACCAGTTGCTTGCTGGATTACCGTAGCAGAGGCACAGGCCTGTTGGTGCGGGCTTTCACAGTGGGCATTGTGTGCAATTTTTGCATTGTAATGTGTATTGTTTAAAAGTCATTAAAATTGTAAATAGTTACACCCTTGAGTATATGGGTATGGTTAAAATGCTTTTCTAAAAATTCTGCAATCTCTTGTAAATAACAGTAAAGTGGAGAGTAGTTATGGTGCTGGGAAAATGTAGCATTTCTAGTAGTCTTGTTTACCGCCTCAGACTTAAGCAATATACTTTTTACTAGCCGTATCCTGAGGGACACGGCTAGCTTTTGTGAGACTTCGTCTGGAGGTGGGGGTGTTATGGGGCTATAGGACCCAACATGTATTTATAAGTAACAGTTACTCTGGAATACCTAATTATATTGAATTGATGGGGACTTTGCTCTAAATGTCAGAAGGACTGATCAACCTTATGACTGAGAGGCAGCTGGGTCAAACCTATTTTTCTCAATATAATAGGTTATACTATAGACACATAAACACACAATTTAAATAAGTAGTTTATAAAGTTGTATTTCTTTTTGTAAAAGTAAAGTTAAGAGGTGGTAGAATTGTGGTAACTGGAGAATTGTGCTTGGCAACAGTCTTTTGTTTTGGTGGGAGGAGTTTAGCCAGGCTCTCTCTCTCTCCCTCTCACTGACTCTCTCTCTCTGTGGCTGACCTTCAACCTGGCAGGATCTCTGGGTCCTTCTCCTATCTTTTGGGCCAGGCATCATGTGTGCTCCAGGGGTGAGTTTTTATAATTTAAGTTTTGGCCACCATACCCAGGGTGACTAAAGTGTGTCAAAACACTGGTTAGCCCAGAGTTATGTCAGGAAGAGTGAAGGACAAGAGTTGTTGCAACACACCATGTGGAGCACAGGCATGGAGTGTGTAGATTTTGTTTTGAAAATGGAGGCTGTGATTGTATATTCTGTACATATCTATTGAGAATACAGTTATATTTTTATAGTAGTAGTTTACATAACCTGTGAAGAGGGCTGGTGAAAGGGTATCAGAGACACTCAAGATGATCAGCCATGATGTAAGTATTACCCCTAGACAAATAAGGCCATTAAGTAAAAGCTAGCCCACACTAGAACATGTAGTGAGAACCTTACAATCCAAGAAATAAGACATACCAACGTAACAATGGATTAATGAAAATGTGTATTTAACGTAATATATACGACATTTAAATGAGACTCGATGATTATTATAATCATTACTAATATGACGTCTGGAGACATAAGACACTCTTACTGATTTTCATGTGTACCTGCATGCCAGCACAGTATGTAAGTTTATTTAAGTACAGGTATACATAAGTATAATTAATCAAGTATATATAAAATATGAAATAACTTTTAAAAACATTTGAAATTTTGGAGTTTCCAGACAAAATGGAGAGACTTAGTGCTTACTGAGCTCACGAAGAATGTAAACAAACAAGGTGGGGCGCGGTGACCGTATTAGAAAGTCAGGTGGGGGAGCCGTATAGCGAGTTTTGGTCATAATTTGAAATGACCGATTAGCGGAACACCGTAAAGTGAAACGCCGTAAAGCGGGGCCTTCCTGTATAATATATATATATATATATACATGTATATATATATATATATATAATATATATATAATATATATATATATATATATATAATATATATATATATATATAATATACAGTGGAACCTCAAATATCGAACTTTCTTCGGTCCAGAAGGCTGTTCGAGTGCCTTTACCGAATGAATTTATTCCCATCAGGAATAATGTAAATTAGATTAGTCCATTTCAGACCCTCAAAAATACACTTATAAAAGCACTTACAAAAATACACTTACATAATTGGTTGTGTTGGGAGCAGTTCGATTTTTGAGGTTCCACTGTATATATACGACCAAAACAGTCAAAGGGTTAAAGTGCAGGCATTATACTTCCCCTTACTAGACACTATGACAAAGCTATCTTTTTATCTTAAGTAACAAGGTCACAATTCATATTTGTTCATACCTAGCCCATCTCCCCTTCCAGGATAATAACATACAAGTATGTGTGTAAAAGTATGATTAAATCTATATTTGGTTCCAACTATTAAGCAGAAAAATGAAACTCTTGGAAAATGCTATGTACACATTTATGTGCTAGCTGAAGTGTGAAATGATTGTTAATAAAATAATTTTGCTATAATAATTACCAAACAACTGCTGAAGTCAGTGATCTATGTAATTTAATTATTTGTACTGTACTGAACTTTCATCAATTAATCATGATATTGCTATTGCTCATTTTTTCACTTTTGGCTTCTGAGGCATCTTCACTGGTCTGAGATATGGGTTATCCAACTCTGCTTCCTGAGCCTCAGCCAATCTATCTTTATCCTGAAAATAAATAAGAAAAATTATATGTAACTAGTGAATGAGGACCAGATTCATGAGAACTTTCTTTAACTTATGTATGCATAGCTTACCTAAAGGAGGTTCCTTGAAGCAAGTGAGAGGATCTTGATCTAAGGAATTGGACCTGACCTCTGTTTCCTTTGATTGAACCTGACTGCCTCTTATTCCCCCAGGCTTTGTATGACCAATATGGGACTAGTGCTCATCCTTTAATATGAGTCAAAACCATCTTGTTTCCCAGAGAACTCTCGAGGGGAATGAGTTCCGGGAAAATGAAATGGAAAATGACAATGAAAAAGTTTATTTCCTTGTAAATCCTACAATGTGTGGTTTATATGTTATAAAATATTAATTACAAAGAAGGCCACTAGCATGCCTAGGCATTTTGGGCAGACTAATACTAATTCTTACTCTATATTGATATAGGTTATGGAGCAGTACATTTTAACATACATTATTAGATACATACGTAATTAGGTACATACTATTTATTTCTTTATGTTAAGCACTAAACCCATGTGGGTCATTCAGCGCAAGGCATAACAGAGGCTCGATCCTCCATCTGCTGAGCGCCAGACAGATGCACTTCCTATTTGTACTCACATAATTAGATTTATAATAGTGAGGTTTGTTTGATTACATTACTTAAGCAATTACTGTTTATCTTCTTTGCATTTCCATCTTCCTCAGAAATGCTGATTCCTAAACCTTGCACCATACACATAACATTAGACAAATTTAAAATGAGGACTGTGTGCATTCCTGAGTTTCTTACAGGTCCCCAGAATTAAATAATTCCACAAAATTACTGAATACCTAACTGTCTCCAGCATCCCTTCAGAGAGATTCAGTAAACATTTGATTTAATGAGCTTTCAATTAACTGGCTAAGGGAAATACAGGACAAAATCCAATGGATTAGTTGATTTGGAAACAACAGATGAAGTCTGATGAGTATAAAATTGTCTATTTATTGTTATGCTCACAGAAAAACAGTCTCATCTCTGTACACCACAATCACTTATACAATCATCTTATCCTCCCTGTTAGTCTCTTAACCATTTCAGTGGTCTTCACATGTAGAACTGTCACTGAGGCCAGGATCCCTAACCTAGTTCTCCACCATAAATTCAGCTCACTGATAAGCTGTGAGTGGTAAATTTTGACTTGGACATTAAAGAATGGGTCTGTATGGTGAGTGTGCACAGTATAAAAAAAAACTTTCCCCACATGGTGCATAAGAAAAGAAATACTCTGTGACCATATGTTTGGTTTAAAATAGCAACTTTGAGGTGTTTTCTAGGATGGTTTTATGGCCTTAACCCTTTGACTGTCGCAAGCCCCTTTCTAAAACTGTCATTCTATGTCGCAAAATTTTTTTGAAAAAAAAAAAAATTCTTAGGAAATTATAGAGAATCTTTTCCTGATATTAATGACACAAAAAGTACGAAATTTGGTCGAAAACTCACGGAATTATGCTCCCGCAAAGTTAGCGGTCTCGGCGACATATACGCATCGGCGATTTCGCTGACTTTGAGCCCTGTTTGTAGCCAATTCCGCTGTACCAGTTGACCAAACTCATAGCTATTCTTTAGAACTCCATTTTTCTATCATTTGAGTACAAGACACCGCCCATTTACCCCAAATTTGAAACTACCCAATAAAGTGGTTAGAAACTGGCAATTTGGCCTATTTCACGCAAATTAAAAAAGATGCCAATTTCAAAAAAGGGTCCAGAATAAACAATGTAGACATTCTGGCACTAAAATAAGCATGTCCTCTGTTCATTAGTCACATCTCTAAGGCCCCTCTTATATTACTATTGCTTTCTATTTTGATTTTTTAATCATACAAAAAATACAAAATTTACTGTTATGCAGACTACTGCATTATTGTAAAATGGTATAAATAATATCAGTGCACTAGTGAAAGAATATCAGACTCCCCAGTTGATGTGTATTGGATATGTGGTGTGATTTGCTTACTCCTGAACATTGGTAAAAATCGAACATTTCTGCTACTTTGACCTCAATTTCAAGGTCGTTTTCGTGAAACTAATCAAAATCATCTCTATTTCTGTAATATGTTTTACATTTTATCACGTGAGACCATGAAAACGAGAATACAACGATAAATACTATACTAAAATGCACCTCAAAGTCGGCGTTTTAATCCAAAAAAAACAGTCAGTTTTTTTTTTCTCATTATGCACTGTGTGCTGCAAGATTTTATTTTATGTGGTGCACACTGACCACACAGACCCATTCTCTCACATGTGGGCCTACTAGCTTTCTCCTGCTTGATTTGAAGCTGCTAGAATTTACGCGCATAAATACGTCCGAAACAGTGGCGCGTAAGACGTATATATACGACCAAAACAGTCAAAGGGTTAATGGCTGTTTCTTGGTACAATTTGATAGAATGAAAGACATAATACTGAAAAAGACGATTCCAGTTGGTTTCTACCTGAAAAAGCTTGAAATTGGGCTAAAAGTAGTGAATTATTATTATAATAAAAAAGAAGCGCTAAACCACAAGGGCTATACAGCGCTGCAGGGCAGGAAAGAAGCGAGGGTAATCAGGTGGCAAAAGGGAGATTATTTATGTACTGTATAATATGTATACATGGTAGTGAACTGTATTGTAAATTTTACATCTCATACAGTATCATATGTTACTGTTATCTTTAAGTACAGTGGTCCCTTGATAATCGTAGATTTCGGAAATCATAGGGATATTTTCGTATAAACGTGGGCTTGCTAATCGTAGATTGACTCGCAAATAGTAGTTCGTCCGGACAGGTACACACAGCCCCAAGCCGCCTCACACTCCTTTCCCAGCCAGTGTGCCACTGTTTATCAGTGAGTGAGGATGGTCCCACGAGTTCATACGATACATTTCACAATACAGTGGACCCCCGGTTCGCGATGCTATCGGTACCCGATAAATCCGGTAACCGATGCATTATATAGCAGAAAATTTGCCTCGCTTCCCGATACAAAACCCGGTATGCGATGTGGTTCGTACGAGATGTGTCCATGTGTGGCCTGAACTGCCCCGTGTGTGCCAGTGTTTACAAGCCAGCCAGTGTGCGCGCATCTAAGGATACATTCGGTACATTCCATGTTATCCATATTATCACTGTTTTTGGTGCCTGTTTTTGCAAAATAAGTCACCATGGGCCCCAAGAAAGCTCCCAGTGCCAACCCTTCGAGACCAAGGGTGCTAATGACTGTTGAAATGAAGAAAGAGATAATTGCAAAGTACGAAAGTGGAGTGCGTGTGTCAGAGCTGGTCAGGTTGTATAGTAAACCCCAATCAACCATCTCTACTATAGTGAGCAAGAAAACGACAATCAAGGAAGCTGTTCTTGCAAAAGGTGCAACTGTGATTACAAAACAGCAACCGCAAGTGTTAGAAAATGTTGAGAGACTGTTATTGGTGTGGATAAATGAAAAACAAAGCAGGAGATAGCATCTCTCAAGCAATCATTTGTGAAAAGGCTAGGCAGTTGCATGACGATTTGGTAAAAAAATTGCCTGCAACTAGTGGTGATGCGAGTGATTTTAAGGCCAGCAAAGGTTGGTTTGAAAGATTTAAGAATCGTAGTGGCATACATAGTGTGATTAGGCATGGTGAGGCTGCCAGTTATGTTGTGCGACAGAGGTCCAGTGACTCTCAAGCTGGTCCTAGTGGCATTAGAAGAAGAAGGGAAGTAACCCCGGAAAATTCAAATTCAAATTCAAAGTTTATTCTCTATAAAGATTACAATGTTGAATTTACAGAATTTGGTTGTTGTGTGGTTTACATGTAGTTAAATAATGATTACAGAGTGTACCACTAGAACGCCTAGCATGGCTAGGCATTTCGGGCAGACTTAGTCTAATTCTTTATTTTAAAATATTACAAATTATGAGATAAGTTGGTATTATGGCTAAGTGACTAAATACTAGTTTGTGAGCTTAGCAGTGTGAATGCTTTTGTTTTGGCACAGTACATAGTTTCAGTATTGGAGTATCATAGGATTCATTATTTTAAGATTGAGATTAATATTTCTGTTTAAGGTCAAATGGGTGAGTGAGTGTAAGTGTGAACCACCAGGTGGTATTCGTGTAGTTAGTTGATGGGGTTTATCAGAAAAGGACTTGCTACCTCAAGTCCTAATGGAGGGGGATTCCCCTTCTAAATGCAACACACCATCCACACCTCCCCTCCTCCCATCCCATCAATCATCACCAGATCTCATTAAAGGTAAGTGTCAATTATTCTTTCGTTATTTATTGTTATTTATTGTTATTGTTGTTATTGTAATTACTATTCTATTGCAGTAAACTTAATATTTCATGTGGTAAAAGTTTTTTTTCATACTTTTGGTGTCTTGCACGGATTAATTTGATTTCCATTATTTCTTATGGGGAAAACTGATTCGCTTTCCGATACTTTTGGTTTACGATGAGCTCTCAGGAAGATTAGTATCGCGAACCGGGGTCCACTGTATTCATTCGTTTTTAGTGTTTCCAACTGCCTCAAACCCTTCAAAATACCTCTTGTGGACACAATCTAGCCACAATTTCTCCAAGCAGAGTTCAAAGTCCTGGTAGTCACTCCCTCCCAAGCCTTACCTATAAGGCTTACGCAATGGAGAATACTGAAGTGTTCTTTCCAAAAATCTCGTAGGGTCAAGTGAGTGTCTGAGGTCACATTCAAGCACCTTTCAAACATTGCTTTGGTGTAGAGTTTTTTAAAGTTTGAAATGACTTACTGGTCCATGGGCTGGAGGAGAGGAGTGGTAAACCCCAAACTCCTTCAGAATTAGGTCATCCAAGTTTGGAGGATGAGCAGGTGCATTGTCCTTTACTAGAAGGCACTTGAGATCCAATTTCTTTTCCAAGAGGTAATTCTTCACACTAGGGCCAAACACTTCATTGAACCACTCGACGAAAATGTCCCTTGTGACCCATGCCTTACTATTAGATCTCCAAA